CCAGTTCCAGTTGACAATTGCCGGTTGAATTTGTTGTAGTTATAGCCAACTGATACGCTGCCCCGCCCCGCCCCGCCCGGCCCGCCTCACCTTGCCTCGCCTCGCCTCTGGGCACATGTGTTTTTGGCTTCCATTTGAGCTGTTGCTTCGCTCTTTTCTTTTCGTCGGTTCGCGGTTTTTGCTTTTGTTTTGCAGCCGAATCCTTGCCGCCTTGCTGCCTTGCCGCCTTGATCCTGCCCCGCCCCGCCCTTATCATAACTGTTTAACAGCGCTCGGGCAACCTTTTGCCTTGATTCGCCCCATATTAATATATAAAATATATATATATATATACTTATATTATGTGATAAATTAGTTATATGCTCGATATACTTATATTAATTTATTTCTGTGCCCGCTGTCTGACACTTGATTGACTCTCTTATTAACCCATGTTGCGCCGCGCATTACTGTATATGGACAACAACAACAACAAAAGAAAAAAACAGCAAAAAGGTTAAAATTTGCCTAATTCCAAAGGGTCGGATCGGGTCGGGTCGGGTCGGGTCGAGCCCGAGCTTGACATCTAACACAAAAACTCAATCAAATTAGCGGCAAATGTGAATTATGTCAAGAACCAAAGCCCAACCCCCTTGCCCCAACTCACCCCCCCCCCCTCCCCACCCCTCTATCGCCCCACCCACTAGCAGAGAGCGACCGATTTTCACATTTTCCACGAAACTGTTAACTGTCGTTTCCATTTGACTTTTCCTCCGAGCCGCATTTTTGGTCTTCTTTTTACTTTTTGTGTGTGTGTTTTTTTTAATTACCAAACATTTGACAGCATCCTGATGCTTATATTGTGTTGTCTATAAAGTGAAGATACACACACACACACACACACACACACAGTCTTAACCTTTTTTGGTTTTTGGCTTTTTAGAGAGAAAAATGTTGCGTGTGAGCGTGTTGCTAGAGAAATCAACCCCCGAAATAGCGTTAGATATTTGATTTGAACAAAATTCAATGCCAGCAATAGCTAGAAGAAGCAGATAAACCAGCAGAGCATAGCATGGCCGCCATGCTGCATCATCATCATCATCAGCATCATCATCAGCATCATCAACATCTTGAGCTCGAATCTTGAGCATCTGCCAATGCTGCGCCTCTGCCTGATGCTCTTCCCCTAATTTCTATCTATCCTCCCGAAACTGTGATATACAATTGCCAATAATGGGTAGTTAGAAGGTTGAACGCGTTTCAAATACGAAAAAAAAAAATTGATTTTACTACTCTTCTTTCTTTGTTATATAGGGCTTTCATATAGTATATACACTAGAGAGTAGGGTAAATATATTATATCAATAATAATATCAATTAGTTTTCTAGCACTGGAAATCTAGTCTTAGTTGACAAATCACATTCATGATTCGATCTGATCTTTTGTTCATCAAAAATTCGTAAGCCAATCCCTGTCTTTGCACATACTTACGTCCAGATCTTGGCTAAGACCTTAGCTTGTCATATATATTATCCGGGATAACAGAAAATATCTGCTACACTTGATATTTACCCAAAAGTTGGCATATACCGAATATGGTTGGATAAATGTATGGCAGTATATTGGCCTTAACGAAAATATGCTTAGATAAGTATATTTAGATGAATGTAAATTATCGAAGCTAGATCAAAAGTTTTTATATCAGCTTTTGGTTCGTCTGTTTCTTAAACTGTTTTGCTTTACGATTCATTTCAGATTTCGCACTCGAGTTAACTCTAATTGAATTGTTAAGATTAGAATGTTCGTTAATTACGACATTTAAATAGAAATAAATGACTTGAGTTGACAGTCTGTTATTGATATAATAGGTATAATAATCACAATAGAGTCCACAGTCACAGTAACAATATAATACCCTATATCTGATATTTTGATATTCAAAACTTTTGCTGCAGTTCGTTTGGCCATCAAATCATTTAAATAGATTTTTTTTTGTAAATGTGCTCCCAAAACAAATCCTGTTCTTCGGAGTATATTGTAAAAAGCAAGTCATGCTCTTTGGAGTCTCTCACACAAGGAGCAGCTCTTTGCTTGGCTCATGATATCACAAAAAAAAAGAAGAGAGAAACAAACTTGCAACATTCTTGAACAGTTGCCATGCATTGTTTTTTCCCACACATACTTAGCATATTTATGTGTACATATGTGTGTGTGTGTGTGTCTGTGCATATGTTTGTTTAATTATTATTAATTATTGCAATCAATTCGCAAGAAGAAACCACCCACAAATGCAAATGCGCACACACGCACACACACACGCACAAACACACGCACACGCGCTGTCAGCTGGCAAACAAAAGACTTAGGCAACGAACTTGGCCTTAGCAGCTTCCTCTCAAAGCGAAGCGCCAAAAAAATTGAGAAAAAAAATATATCAAATAAAATTTTGCAAAAATAATACAAAAATAAAGCACACAGGCTGCCAGGCTTGGAGGCTTTAGATGCGCAACTATAATAAAACTTTATATGTGGCATATACACACACTCACATGTGTGTGCGTGTGTGTGCGCGTGTGTGTGAGTGTGTGGCTAAGAAGGAGCGTCAAATGGCGCACAGCTGCGCGAAGCCAAGCCAAGCAACATTTGCTGTTGCTCACAAATTGTTGCTACATTTTGACTGCTTGTTGTTGTTGTTGTTATTATTTCATGTGTGTCCTAATTCCAATTCAACAGAAATTTTTGTCTCACAATCACCAAAAAACACACAGAAATTTATATATAAAGTAAAGCGAAATAAATCTTAGAGCCGAGAGCCAAGCAAAACGAGTTGAAATTAAGAGAAAAAAACAATCAACAAAAAAAAAGTTTAGGCTAAAGTTTTGTGTTGTTGTTGTTGTTGTTGCTGTTACTGTTGCTGTTGTTGCTGTCGGCGCTTTATCCGATTTTGTGCTGTGCGCTGCTTGTTGTTTTTTATGACGAGTTTCCGCTAATTGCTGATGCGCTGCAGATTAAATGAAGCAGCGACAATAACAACAACAACGACAACAGCTCCGCTCGAATGGGGAGCACGCCCAGCGCGTCGAGACGCAAAATGTCACAAAAAAAAAAGAAGCAAAATAGTTATCTATGTGTACCTATCAACAAGTAAGAGTACGCTAGTCGGGAGTGCACGACTAGGAGTTACCCTACAGCTGAGCTGTGCCTCTGCCAACCTTTGGCCCAGTCACAGCTTGGCATACACTACGAAGCGGCAGATGCTTGCTCCTGCCTGTTGCATACATTTGCACATAACTAATATGCCCTTTCTATTCATTTTCTAAGGATTCAGGGCATAAAAACTGATATTGGAACATCTTGACTTGGCAAACAGATTTGCTAAGCATATTCACAATACAAATAATACTAGAAATATGTTCCATTTAAAAGCATTATTTCTCACGCTTGGCTAGAGGCAAGAGGAGGGGGCGGGGGAGGAGTAGGAGTTCAGTTATGTGGTGGACCAGCTTGCAGCATGCATATAGTATGTATTACAGTAAGGCCAGCGAAGCGTGTGTCGTGCTTGTCAGTCAATGTTCTGTCTTATCGACAGCCGCATGCGCTACAGCCAGCCATGCCGAGCCTATCGATGGGCATTAGACAAACGCAGAGGTAAATCTCTGTGTGTGTGTGTGTGTGTGTGTGTGTGTGTGTGCGTTAATGGCAGCAGCTGCTGTAACAAGTGTTCACTGTATGCGCAGCGCATGTAAGGGTCGTTTAAATCGAAGCCAAACCCTTGCTGCGGTTGCTCTTTAACGCCGCGGCTGCGGCTGCGGCTGAGTCTTTTCCTCAAGTCTTACACAGCGCGAAACGAAGGGTGATTAACAGAACGATAAACATTTTATAGTCATGGTTTTTAATCAAAAAGTTTCGTTTGAACATAGACATAACAGTGGCGTATTATGTTAAGCTGCTGTTATTATCATGTTTTGTTTTACATAACATATGGCAGCTGTGAGTACCTGGCACTGTTGGCAACAGTTATGCTACGTACTTAACAGTCAAAGCTTATGTTAAGCAGCCGTAAGCGCAATATGCTTTAAAGCAAAAACGTTAGTTTGAACATGGACATATTACATGTTTTGTATTGCTTTACATTTAACAGCTGCGTGTACCTAGCACTATTGGCAACAGCTATGTTATTAGCTTAACAGTCTTAGCTTATGTTAAGTAGAGCTGTTCGGCTAAGCGACTTTAAAGCTGAATGTTAAGTGCAGATTCTGATCAAGATTGAATTGAACTGCCTTTTTTGCTGCAGTGTATGGCCTGTCGAACACACACACACACACACACGCACACGCACACAAAGGCCAGTGAAGAAGGGGCAAGCCGAAATTAGAAAAGAAAAAAAAGGCGTATCGCCGTGTTTGCTGCCTCAACTCTGGTTGTTGCTGTTGTTGTTGTAGCGCTTAGATTGTGGGCCAGAATGAACGAGAAAAACAACGAAAATAAAAAGCAGAGAATTATACGAATTATAAGAATTACGCTGAAACTGAAGAGAAAGACATCTTATAGATATCAGATTATGGTGCTGCGTTAGCCTAAGCTAATAATTCTAGCACACCTTGTGTGCGTGTGCGTGTGTGTGCTGGTGTGTGTCGGTGTGTGTCGGTGTGTGCATATGAGCATAATGAGCTATAATTGGATTAAAGATTTATTTATTGTTGTATTTCGTTTCGTACAACAATTTTACATTCGCCTGCGCCAGCTGGGCGCTGGCAACAACCGGGCCAACAATCGACAATCGACAACTGAGAGCTGAGAACTGAGAGCTGAGAACTGAGAATTGAAAGGCGAGATCTGAGCTCTCGTGTTGAGAGATCGGGCACTTTGTATCGACATTGACTAATTAGCGGGTCTCTCTGGGCAATGTTTGGATAATTATTATTACTGGCGAAACACATTTGCATTAATCTCGCTTCTCCCTTCTTCTCGGCTTCTGCATCATCACTTATTATTTCTTCTTGATCTCGTCTTGTTGCAGCTACCGCCGCATCCAGCAGCCGGCGGCCAACAGTGAAGCGGCAATATCAGCTCCAGGGCGAGGGCCAATACCAGGCGCAGAACCCGAACCAGATGAGGAATTACAATGCCCAGAAACGGATCAAAATTTAAAGTAAATTGATTATTTCGGCAAGTCCGGGGCGACGAAGTTTAGTATTATAATTATACCAACTATCTAAATTACGTATGTATTGTACGATTATGTATCGAATAGTTTTAATCTACCCAAACCCAAACCCAACCACGATCCCAACCCGAAGACCCCACTCTAAAAGTGTGTCTAAAATGTGCCAGGAAGTTCTAAATTCTTCCATCAATGTTGGCATCGATGTTACGCAAAATTTTATGTAGTATTTTTAAGCACAACCTTTTGCTGAATAGCACAATTTAGTACATGTACTAAAGGTAGTACAACAATTAGTACAAACAATTCGGCAAAACAGCTTTGTGTCTGTTCTAAATTGAGTAAAGAGCACAAACTGTTAAAGTAATAAGAAATACATCCACGCAGTTGTACTAAAAAGTGTACTAAGCAATATATGCGATTTACATGGCAAATATTAAATTTAGTACCTTGTACTAAAATGTGTACTATATAGAGTACACGCCAGAACTTACCAAAAACGGAGTGTTTGTCCTTTAACGCATATTGTACTAAAATATACTAACATGTTCTAAAATGGAGTAGTGCGGCAAGTCCAATTACATTTTGGAGATTTAATGAAAGTGTCGAATGTTAAGAAATAACTTCTAAAAGCTGTACCCAATTTAGTACATGTACTAAATATACAACAAACATAAAGGATCACTTTCAGCAAACCCAATATAAATGCACTAAAACTCGGTGTACTAAAACAGTGCTAAAATGAATGGAACACGTACATAAGTCAATAATAGCTAGAAATGCATTGTACATATAAAATGTGTATGTGTTATGACAATTATAGTTTCTGATCTAAATTAGTTCACTCGGTTTTTTTTGTTTTTTTTTGTTTTGTTTGGTTTTTGAAGATAAGCTCCTACATATACATATACTTATATCAACAATGTGCATATCATTTTTTGGGCAAGTTAAAACAATAATTAAGCTTAAATAGCAAAGGTTAACTAAAAAATAAAACTAAAAAATAAATTTTAAAAAAAAGACAACAGCACAAGGCAATAATTTTAGTTCAATTGATTTCGATTGGAATTTTGATTTCAACATGTTTCAACTGTGCAATACAAACAAAAACAAAACAAAGGTTAAAACTAAATTTAGTATACATATACATATATATAACATTTTTTTTTAAACATATATACATATATACATATATATATATATATTCATTTATGTATGTACGGCAAGTCCTAGTGTAAGCGCGAATACCTCAGCCGAACAAGAGCGAATTCTATTTATAGAAAGATATAGCAAAAATAACTGAACAACAGCAAATGAAACAAATGATCAACTGCAGCTCAAGCAACTACCTCGTTAACAATAAAAGGAACAAAACTGAACGAAACAACAAAGAAATTTAACATAAATCTGGCATGAATATATCAATTATATAGTATATATATATATATATATATCTCTCTCACGAATACGTAAAACTTAAACAAATAACAATTTATACGAATTGCAAACAAGTTAAATTAAATGTACATTAAATTTTAATTGTTTATATATATAACAAATTATATATATACACACACACATATATATACATATATACATATATATATATATATAGATATATATATACTTATACATATATATTTAGCGTAGCAGCCCCCCGCCCCGCCCACACTTCCGCGTCAGCGAATTTTTTTCCATGTTGTCATCAGTTTAAATTTGAATATTTACAAAAAAAAAAAAAACACATTTTGGCCAAATCACATTTTGTTGCACACATATGACAACAGGCGTGTCTCACTGGGCGTGGCCGTGGCTGACGCAAGGCGTGGCTCTGCCGCCCACTAACCCCTAAAAACCAAAAAACAACAAAAAAAAAAAAATGTTTCTCATCCTTAAACGTAGTTGTAGTTGTGCATCTATTTCAACAACGAAAACGAATTGAAAATTATTTCAAATAAAATATATATACATAAAAAAAAAAAACAACAAAATTGACACAAAAAAATAACAAGAATGTTTTAAGCGATATTTTCATTTATTGAATTTTTATTATTTCCTCTTCAATTTTGGAACTTGAAGCAATACACGAAGCATTTTTTTTTTGGTTTCATTTCTCAAATTGACTTTGAAGCGAAACATATTTGAATTATGTAGCAACTACATGTTAAATTTTAGCAATTAATTATTAAAAAAAAAAGAACGAGGAAAAAGAAAAGAAGAAAACTAAGAAATCAAGTGAAAATGTATGCCAAATAAATGTATTTGAAAGCAGGCAAAATCAGGACAAGGCAAATGGAAAACTGCAAAGAGAACTTTGAAGGCACCAAAAAGAAGAAAACGAGAAAAAACTGTTAACTTCGGCCAGCCGAAGCTCAAATACCCTTGCAGACCTAACCTCAAATGCGTTATAGTAATCCGTCTAATCCGATATTATTTAACATTTCAACTGTTCTTCAGTCAGCCTGACGAGAGCTCATCTGACATGTTAAACCGCATTTTGAGTATCTTAATCAAGAATCTTTTTCCTGCGATTGAAGCTATATAGTTATCCGATGCTTATCCCAACAAAAGCTCAGTTTGCGAACAAACTATAGATATATATATATATATATATAGATTCCCGTATATGTCAGATCTGCAGACAAATTGACTTCGTTTAGCTTGCATACCCGATTGTAGCGAAACTGTTAGGGTATACACCCCAAAAAAAGTAGCCGACTTTGAAGCCCTTTGTTTCTAGTATTTAAAATCCAGAGCTCTATAAGAAATACTAACAATAAATAGAACAAGGAACCGTGTACCTCTCAAAACACCTGGCTAAGGGCAATTCGAATTTAGGATTCCGATTTCAGCTTCTAGTCGGCGTAATAGTGTGCATGTGTGTGTGTGTGTGTGTGTGTGTGAGTGGGTGTGAGTGGGTGTGAGTGTGTGTATTTGTACATTTTTACATACTCAAAAGGAAAAGCCAAGTAAATCAATATACAGTAACAATTTTTTGCACTCTATAAGTTTTAACGGTATTATAACAAAGGCGAGAAATTTAATGAAAAGTTATAAATGAAAAGTTATATGTATATCAATTTTCCTTAAACTATATAAATGTATTTCAAATAAATGGTAATGTGTAGTAAACGGCAAACCGCTCCATAAAAAACAAAAAATAAAAAAAACTAAAAAAATATATATATTAATTAAATTGGGGCAACATTCTCAGCAGCAACATGAATTTATGACAACCAGATAAGCAAGGAACTTATATACCAAATATATTATATATATATATATACAAAACGAGACATACGTATGCGTGTGCCACATATAAGAAAGTACATCCAAGTACGACTTAAGAGCAGGCATATACCATTTACCACAAAGCACAATGAGCACGATCATGAGATTGAAAGCACAAAACAAATTACAAAATTGTCAAAACTATAACCAAAAAAAACAAAGTGTGAAAACAAAATATATATATATATATAAAAACAAAAAATAAATAAAAAGAACCGATTTTTTTTTGAGCCGAAATAAAGCATAAAGCAATGTAAACTACAAAAAAAAAGAAGAAATCTCTTGTATTATTTTGCTTGGGTGTACTTAGGGGTAGATCTAGTAATAATTATATGTTATACAAGAATATTGTTGCCAGCTCTAGTTGGCAAATTGATCAAGAGACCGCACGACGGACAAAGATCCAAGCCTCGTGCAAATCTGATGAGATTTGACCAAGTTATGGGGTTATGTGCTTATTTTTGTATGAATGTATGTATGTATGTATGTGTGTGCGTGTGTTTATGTATGATTGTCTGTATATATGTATGTATGTATGCATGTAAATTATCTTATAAAATACCAATAGCAGATACCAAATTGTCTTGTTGCGCCGCAAATTTAAATAAGAAAACGCATTTATTAATGCTGCCCTCCTCCTCGATTCTCAAAAATGTAAGTAAGGCTTGCAGGCTTCACCTATGAATAAGGCGCAGGCGGCTCCAACGCAAGTAGCCGAGGAGCATGGCGGAGGAGGAGCAGGTGGCGGAGCAGGAGGCGTATGTTTCTGGGTATGTAGGTATGTAGGTATGTAGGTATGTAGGTATGTAGGTATGTAGGTATGTAGGTATGTAGGTACGTAGGTATGTAGGTATGTAGGTATGTAGGTATGTAGGTATGTAGGTATGTAGGTATGTAGGTATGTAGGTATGTAGGTATGTATGTATGTATGTATGTATGTATGTATGTATGTATGTATATATGTATGTATGTATGTATGTATGTATGTATGTATGTATGTATGTATGTATGTATGTATGTATGTATGTATGTATGTATGTATGTATGTATGTATGTATGTACGTATGTACGTATGTATGTATGTATGTATGTATGTATGTATGTATGTATGTATGCATGCATGAATGTCAGTATGTATGTATGTATGTATGTATGTATGTATGTATGTATGTATGCATGCATGAATGTCAGTATGTACATATGTGTGTATATATGTATGTATGTGTATGTATGCATGTATGTATGTTTGTATGCATGCATGTACATATGTATATATGTGTATATGTAGGTATGTATGTATTTATGTATGTATGTATACATATGTACAAACTTTAAACTTCACGAAAAAAATCTTATAATCGCACTTTCCACCGAGGAGGCTTTTTATACCCTGAACCCATTAAAATGGGTAAAAAGGGTATTAAGTATTTGTGCAAATGTATGTAACAGGCAGAAGGAAGCATCTCCGACCCCATAAAGTGTATATATTCTTGATCAGCATCAATATCCGAGTCGATCTAGCCATGTCCGTCTGTCCGTATGTATGAACGCAAGGATCTCAGAACCTATAAGAGCTAGAGACTTGAAATTTTAACGGTAGGTCCTCCTAGTCCCCGCGCAGTTTGTGTCCGATATTCGGATTCGAATGCATCTTTCGAAAAGTGTAAGACACCCCTCAAATAAATTTGAACAAAGATCTTTGAAAATGAGTTTGAGGCCGATCGGATGGTAAACAAAAAAGGTTTCATAGAAACGTTTTTCGCGATTTTTCCGCACATACGGGTGGAATTTCCCGAAACCCCGTCTTAACGTGCACCTTCATCACATAAGTTAACTTCAGTGAAACTTTCAGTTTCTTAGCTCTTCCGGTTTGGGCTGTGCGTTGATCACCAATCAGTCAGTCAGTCAGGACGAACAGTTTTAAATATAGAGATATATTTTTATATTGGAGGGTATTATGAGCTTGTCAAGACCCCATAAAGTCTCTAGATTAGCATCAGCAGTAGAGTTGATAAAGCCATATGCGTCCGTCCGTCCATCCATCCCTCCGTCGTCTGTCCATATATCCGTCCGTCTGTCTGTCCATCTATCATTCCATCCCTCCATCCATCGATCCATCCGTCTGTCTCTATGCGAACTAGTCTCTCAGTTTTATAGCTATCGTCCCCAAAATTTGCATAGGTCCTTCCTTCTGTTGCGGGCAGTACATATATCGAAATCGGTCGGATGGGTCTATTTGGCTGCCATAGGAAGATCGATCAAACTATAGATGCTAGTATGGTCTAGTTTTTGGTTTTCAAGATCTCTTGACCAAACTCTGCATTTATAGGCCTTACCCTCGCCCTCAACATATATGCAAAATCTTATCAACATCGGACTACAATATCATATAGCTGCCATAGGAACGATCGGTCGAAAAGTAGGTTCTGGTATGGAAACCTTTTTGTTTAGTGGAGATAACTTGACCGAACTCGGGATTTATTAGTTC